TTAAAAAAACCTTAAACACAAAGCTATTGAAGATTTTCATTATCATTCCCTTCTTAAATCTAAATTTCAACTTCAGAATATTGCAATTAAGAAACAAAACTTCTGTACAAAAATAAATGTATCTTATACAACCAGAAAATAGTCTGAAAAATAAGAGTATTTTACTGCATAGATAAAAAAACACATGGCTCTTAAAAATTAAGGAAATTATTTTTAATTAGTTCAAATACATCATAGTTATTGAGTTACATAAGCAACCACAAGTTTTACACTAATTTAGGTCAACTGTAAAGATACATTTCCAGATTCCTTCTTCATTTTTCTCTAAAATGACTTTATGAACATAAACATCATATATATAGGATAGGGAAAAATTGTAATTTTTTACTTACATTTTCATTTTTCAAGATGAGTTTCAGGATTGCTTCTCTTTGTTTTAAAGCCTAAAATCAGGATAATTTCCAGTTAGCATCTTTAAAAAAAAATAAAGATCAAATAGTTTCCCTAATATTTCTTCCCTCATAAACTACCTGACTACTATAGGAAATGGCAGAAATTCTGATGAGGTCAAAGCAAAGTCTAGACTTGAGACTCTAGAGTAATGATCCGTGGATGTCATACTGAACTGTATCTTCTTATCCTGTTTTTCCAGTGCTTAGCACAATGTCTCAGAAATTACATGCCCTTAATATTTACTGAGTGAGTAAGTGATTATCTATGATTATAATGTCTTTCCTCTACATCTCTACAATCTTCATTTTTTTCTTCATTTTAGGAACCTTAAAAAAACTACCACTGCTATAATTTTTTTTTCTTTTTTACCAATAATTAGAAGAGACGACAATGCCTTCTCAGTTCCTCTATTTCAACATATAAATTTCATGTTTGCTGATTTACATTAGTGAATTTTTATTTAGTGTTAATGATATATTTGTCTTCATTCATACTGGCAGGAAAGCCCCCCACCCTGTTTCATTTGCCTACCAAATTCCTATCATCCTTCAAGGGCCAGGTGGATTCTGTAAATCCACTGATTACCCAGACAGAATTATTCATGTTCATCATCATCTCGGGCTCTCACACTTCTTTATATATACCTTTGTAAAGCACATTTTACATTATTTATTTATTTACGTGTCTGCCTCCCCTACAACACCAGAGCCTAGCAGGTGTCTGAAACATATTAATGCTCAATAAATATCAGTCATACTAAATAAATTTTATAGTCTCCTACATTAAGTTAAAAAAATCTGTTCATTGATTTATCATGTATATTTTCTAATAGAATAATTATAATTAAGTATGTGCACATCCTCAGAGGAACTAGAGGTTGTAGCTACAGCAAATAGATGATCAGAATAATTTTACAGAAGCCATGACCATCAATCTTTAGGAGACCATGTATACTGCCACAAACTGATGTGTTAAAGTTACAGAATATAAATGGGATAAATGATTTTTAGCCAAAGATAATAAATGGAATTATAATAAGTTCCTCTCAATGGTTAACACATGCAATATGCTGACTGCATGGACCATATCTTCTACTATTAAAACCTGTTTTTTTCTTTCTTCTTCAATCCAAAGGCAGACAAAATACAAGATTTGAGGACTCTGTGCAAAAATTATAGGATATCAGTAAGTTATAATCATCTATTTGAGGGTACTTCTTAAATAACAAAAAAGAATGCTAGAAAGAAGGTAGAACTGGTTCAATACCACCTACACATTTGTACTCTTAAGTTAAAGTGTAATATCTTAGCTACTAGAATCATAAATCTTATTAGAGGGAAGCACTGATTACATCTGCCAATAATTAGCCAAGCAAATCCCAGTTACTCTTCATGCCAGGCCTTCAGAATAGGACAATTCTTTAACCCTGCTGCCTTCAATTTTATTCTATACTAAACCAAAACTATAATTTCGATTTCCTTATGTATCTTCCTCTATAGATAACTTGCTACATCCTAAAATAAATCATTAAAGTGACTAAGCAAACTCAAGGTAATTATATACTTTGAAGAGAGGCAAATAACACCAATCTTTGGATAGAACTAAGAAAAAAAGCAAGGAGAGTAGAAGGACAAAGAAGCAACTATGGGGTTTCCTACGCCTCATTCTTTCCCTTCCTGTCATAAGTCCTATAAAACAAAATATATTCTTCTTAAAATCACAGATAAAGACCTATAAAAAAGTGAATATTTAACTCTTCATATTATCAATCGAAACCACATACGGGCTGGTTGATATGAAATCTTGTAGGCATTCTTCTCATTATAGCCGAGTCAAGGTCCTGAGGACGATTAGTAGCTCCCATTACTATGACCTAAATATATAAAGAAAACAGAAGGTATTAAAAACTACAAATAATACTCCTTTAAGGTTGTCATTTTTAGGGTGTAGAAGATAAAGAAAATTAAGTGTTGTTTAAACTAAATCCTTTATATGAAATCTGATTTTAATCCAGTACTACTCAAATATTTATAGACACAAATTGAAGTTAATCCTAAATAGATCAAATAATAGCAAAACTGGAAAGACTAATGCTTTTCACTGGACTTC